AAAATAATATCTCAGTTTCGCGAAGCCCAAAATGTTTGTTTTTCAACATTTTGCAAGTCCAGGCGATTGTGAGAAGCTAGTTAACGAATCTATAGAATATCCAGAATGCTTTTGTTTGTATACAAACCATGGGACTAGGAGAAGAGGCAGCATTCTAACAATACAGGAAGACAGTAGCACTGTATCATTGGTGAGAGGCGATTAAGGTAACCAATAAGTATTCTATGTTGGAAATGTATACGTCATAGAAATGCCATTTATTCCAGTTCATACAAAACTCTTCACATCTCTTGAACAATAAGATCATTAGTAAAGTCGATGTCTTTGGACTATTAAGTGACAAATTTCATTGTAAGGCCCTTATGCACATGTTTTAATTCAATCGTAACGCGAGGTAGATTTCTAAAAGACTGAAAGAACTCAACAGTAGGTTCTGTCTGCGAAACAAGTGTGACAGCAATAGACCTGAAAGCCTAACTAGCAGATTTGTTAGCATCACAGAAAATATTACTTGTGAAGAAGCCTATTTAAGTACCTAGACAAAACCAGATTCTTAATCGCGAACAAAAATTCTAGATTAACCCAGGCCAGGAAAAATACTAACCGTCCCTTTTAAGGAAAATACAGCTCAAGTTACTGCTTACTTCATTAAATGGACTTGAAACACATGCTACTGAGCAAGGCTTAAAAATCAACAGGCGAAGAGTATATTATGAGTTTCCAAATAAACCATTTTTAACGGTAATGCATAAACAGCTAGTTATCCTTGAAAAATTAAACCAGCTAGCTGAGTAAGTCACACCAATTTGATTAGCTTAAACCCAAATATTTCATATTCTTATTTTAACTACCAAAGATAATGGTATTTTAGAAGCTATCGAGATAATCAAAAGTGATCGTTAAAATCCGTAAAATAACTCTTTAAACTGATTGATGACTGAGGTGATTCTCTCCCTTCGAGTAGAAAAGTGAAGTTTATCAATACTGAAATACATTGAGTGGAACACTCGTACTCAGTGATAGAATACGAAAGCGCCAACCAAAAATCACTTTGAAAACTTTTTTGCGATCAGTATTCTAGTTGACCTTCTACCTTTCGTCAAAATATTGACAAAATTCAGGAAATCCAGTATAGCGAAAACTCTTATATTGAGACACCGTTTCCATAAATTTGATATTTCGCCACAGCTTTTTACTTCATATACTTAGTGCCTTAGGAATATCGTATTCATTCCTTCCATCAGACATTATTATTCTGTCAAGCTAAATTTGAAAAGACACTTTTCGTAAAGTACTAGGCCTGCTCACCATAACTTTTTGAACTACGCCACAGATATCTAAAAAAACTTCTGACTGACGCTAATCACAGCTATAAAAGATCTAAATTTGCGACTAAAGCATATAAAACAAAACTATGTAAGCTCAGTAGTCGATACACATTTTTCTCTGACTTGTACTGTTCAGTAAGACACGACTTTGCATTACTTTGTATCTCACAGATATAAAGAGAATCAACCAAAAACTGATTGACTGAACACCACCCTCTGATTTCTGGAATTTGACTGAAACAGACATATGTTGTAGTCAACTGTTAGAAAATGTGTCCGACTCTGCTCAATTAGCAGGCCCACAGTTACTCGCAGATTCTAAGTTTGCCCACAATAAACAATTTAATGATGTAAATCTCTGTTATTCACCCAAAGTAATATTCATTAACTCGGCTTAGTATATTCAGACATCAGTTCTTCGGGATTAATGAACTGCTATTGCAGTGGATTAGATGTTTTAACATGAATAGATACCAAATTACTAACATTAATTCACATTATCTAAACCTTTACCTATAGCCAGTGATGTTATGCAGGGTCATGTCTTGCATCCAGTGCTTTTCATAATATGCATCAATAGCATATGGGGTTGCTTAAACACGGGAAAAACCTACTTCAACTCTGATGACTCAAATGTCATCTATAAAAATAACATATTAGACGTATGCACACAATCCAGTAATGTAGATAACTGGTGTACATGTTGGAAATTAGGAGTGAATTCTGAGGAATGTGATTCTCTGTGTTTTGGAATCGCGTCTGCTAAAATAGATTTCACAGTCAGCAAGAACGTATGGCCTAAACTCGCATACTCACCTACCTTATAATGAATCACTCACACAGCCTAAGCGTTCCAGAATACTTCACCGCTAAAGTATCCCGAACAAACAAATTGATATGTTTTATTTTTCCTAACGTCTTCCATTAATGGTTCTAGAATTTTTGAGGTTTACTGGTCAGATTCCAATGGTTCCCTCTATGATTAAGAGATGGGAACGAACTCCGTTGGGAAATAATGAAGGTATGCAATAGATCGGATTCATCTACATTATGACTGCTATCAATCAAATGTGCCAAGACAAAACTTTACAGTTTTTATCTGGCGATTTCTCAACCTTACCTGGAGATGTTCACCCATTTTCTGGTTCAGTTGACTGGTATTGAGCACAAAATAGCTATTTCCTCAGGAGTAGTTGAGTTTACAAATGCACATTGGGGAGGACAATTAAAGTAACTTATCCTTCATTTGAGTGGGCATCACGGGTTGATTAAGAATTTCAACGCAACACTAGCTGTGCAGAATGCCTTACTCATTTTCTTTGCTAATATGTCACTCAAGATATCACTAACCACGTCCCAGTTTAACAGTTCGTCATAGACATAGTCTACTTCAAAAGCATTTTCACTATCACTGATTAGCTACATCCTGTCGGATAGTAAGGAACAATAAGCAAACGGAATGTACCACCTCACAGACGTCGGTGGATTGACGCTATTGCCCCATCACCATATTTTCTGATCAGACACATCAACCTACCAACTTTTGTGTTGTTAAGCCTTCCTACATTTGAGTTATGTTTTATTATTGCTTTAGTCTAGGCTCTGTTTTGCACACCGTATCGAGTATTACACTGCCTCCACTAGCTACATTTTACAAGCATACCAGAAAGATTATGCTCCGTATATCAGGTTTTATATCCATCTAGCGTATCACTCTGATATTAAGTTAACTAAAAGTATAAATTTTAAGATATGGGTCAGTTAATGGGTTGTTCGTGGATAGGATGAATTGATAACTGTTTGGTTGTTCTTGTATGAATAGTGATGGGGTACAACGTATTTTTAGTCCGTTTGTAGTTTCTAAGATAAGTCTAGAAATTAGGTGGATCAAAAAAGGTGACTCGGGATTGAGGAGGAACTTTGGAACTAGTTAATCAGTTTCTTTAGTTTGACAACAGCGTTACTATTTCCTTAAACTTGGTGATTGCGTCACAGATACATACTGGCTGTTTCACAGTCTATTCCACAATAGAAAATACCTTGTTGCAAATAAATCACAACCCACTGAGTTGTTGTATTTTGCAGTTAGTTGTGTATATGCGTTGTGTCCGAGTCGGTTAGTAGAGCTGTGGTTCATTTGGGGGGGTGGTTATAGATCAAAGACAATTATTTTGTAGAAAAATATATTTGCATCTAACTGTGTGATCCAGAGTTAACTGACATCCTAGCTGTCAATGTGTGTCGTATTTTTGGACGTTTTCCACTATTATCTTGTCTATGGTATTCGTGTTTCAGAAGATAAGTGAACAGCTTCTAAGGAAAGGACTTTGGTTCATTCTGAAGACTGCAAACTTAGCCTCCCTTGTTAAATTCTAATTTATGGACCCATTAACCGTCTAGATTTAGAGATTATAATAGTGTGCGTCAAACTCCCATGCATGCACATCATTGGTTCATTTTTGTCCTCATTACTATGTTAAAGTAAATTACAGCGTGGTGGTTTCCTCCAAATTTCAGTCTATTTCGGGGGAAAATTTCAGGAAAGTGGGAATTTTGGGGTTCTTATTCGAAATTCCTAAAATGTACTGTAGTAGTCTCATCAAAATAGATGAAATTTTCCAGGGAGTTTGGATATGGGTAGCTTAATGCCAGGATTCTCTCGGTAATACCGTATTCAGTAACTTTTCTGGTGAAAATCCAGAAACAATACATACGATATACAAAGTTGTTATGGCCACATAATAATCACAACCCGCTTTCTATGAGCGAAACACAGAAAATTTGTGTATGCGCCATAAAAAATACGTGACCTTGATTCGGTTGTCTCTTTCTCTAGATTCTTGTCCGAAGATACTGGTGTCTGATTTTACTAGATACGAAAGCCTGTTGGAGAAAACGTTTTACTCCCACTACAACCGAGACGTACAAACTCACAATCAACTGTCAACTGACTAGAATTAGACAGTCGGGTGGCTAAACACCCATTCATTAGATACTACCGAACACCTGGAACCGTACAAAAAGAACAAGAATCGAGAGCAAATAAATCAACTGGTATTGGATATTGAACCGTTGGAACTATTTTCGCTTAAGGTCACAAGAGGTCTTAACCCCTGACGACCTTGCGCACTAACAGTAAGCCTGAGTTTTACAACACTATTTGTTAGTTATGTTCAAGTTTATAAAAATAAATAAAGTCATTGATCTGTGCTACAATATTGTGATACTCCTCATAGGCTGGAGTTCACGTAGTTTCTTAGTAACACTATACATCAGTTTATTTAGAAGACGACAATGGTTAAGATTAGCTTTTGATATTGCAAGTATATGCATCACAAAGTACTCTACGAACCATTTACATTGTTCAAGATAAGTTAGTCATTGATTGTATAACGGTGTGCGAACAATGACGGAATAGGTTCGGCGTTGCGTAAAGTTTTCTAACTCGACTGGATGAACGAGAGGTTATTTTTCAGTATATTACGTATGATCCCCGCAAAACATTCGGCTGATTTTGTGGTTTCTCAATTCATTCCAATAGATTTCCTCATAGGTAATTAAAATACTGGGGAAATTCTGGGTTTTCTTCAATCATGTTATGTACTTCTCCAAAATAACTTGAAATTTCGGGGTTGTTAGTTGAATTCACCAAAAATTGATAAAATTTTCCCAAAAGATTTGGGGTTACGTTACCATTCTGGACAAGTCTTGAACACGCTCATAAGAGTTTTTTCGAGTGCCAGGGTTTAGTTATTTAGTTTGGGTATCAATGCTCATGAAATGATGAGAAGTATTAACCGAGGCTACCAAAAGGGGGGAAGTAAATGCAAACTCAGGGGAGTCAAGGGATCATCCCTTAAAAAATAGGAATACCCTGTAAGGAAGAGATCCAGGTTGAACTGCTCACCATCGGGCTACTGAAAAATCAACGGAGGGGTGACTGAGGAAGCTCAATTTAGCGTTCTGTTATATTGTGTAGTTAATCTGGGTTCTCGCTCAATCCTGGTCCCTTTTGGAGGAGTATGAGATTTGTGTTGTGATTCGGGCGCGGTCGTCACCATATCAGGTGGGTCAGGTGTTACTCAGAATATCGTTGCTTTTGAGGGCAGCAATGCACACGGGCTTCGGAAGTCTTGTGACTCGGCTGGCATGTAGACTGGTTAAATTGAACCTGTTTAAAATGTCTTGTCATTAGTCTGTATCATAAAACAGGTTAAAATCTACAGATTCAGTTATTTCAAGTGTCCCGTGGACTATTAATGAATAACTCGATTTACTTGTGAAGTAACTGTCCAGCTGAACATGGTCGATTTTAATTAACCCTTATGCTAGGAAGTCTTTTATCTAGCAGATGGGCTCTTTGTAGTATTATTTCTAATTGATATTGTTGAGCGTTACAGGGGGTAGTTTTTAAGAGCCTTTGGAAGAGATGCCTTGGAGTAAAATACCAAACTATACTTCTCGAATCATGTCTTCGAACCCATATCTTCTCCATTACTGCTAATACTTCTACTATCTCTACTACTATAGGATTTGATTTGATAGTTGCTTCTCTGTGGTAATATGATATGGCAACTTGAACTGATATACGTACGTACGAAGTTCTACATTGTAACTGACTAGCTAGCTGACTTGTACTAATTAAGTATACAATTTTATTCTTGATTAGCTTAACTTTATGCTTTTAATTTTCTTATTAATAGATGGGTTTAACTAAAAAAATTGCATCACCAACTGATTTACGTCAGTGGACATCTTCCATTGCTTGTAATGAAATTCTTAATTTAATCAATAGTGTCAATAGTAAATTGGTCTCTCGTGCAATCCAGGATAATTTACAATCTTCTAAAGTATTTTAAAAGTTAATATTTAATAATTTCAGACTATAATGTTAGTATGTGAAGTGCTTGACAAGCTACAACAAGCAATCAAAGATTATCCACCTGAACAACAGCCACAAAGATTTGGTAATAGAGCATTTAAACAATGGTTTACATGGTTACAAGAGAATGCCATTGATATTTGTTCTATAATTTTTCATGACCACGGTACTACAGATTTCACTGATCCACCAAGTTAGTTCATTGTATAAAATTAATGTACTTAACTTATTTGTCTTAATTGTTTATATATGTACATCTTTCTTAGTGTACTGATATGTGTTTTGGCAACTTCATTTGGGATATATCCTACATTGTCATTTACCGGCTGGTTAACACTGAAAATTCTGCCTCAGCATCAATTCTACATGACTATTTAGTTATTCTTAGAATGTTCTAGTCGGATTAACTTTATTCCTTTCTTTTTGTGTTCACGTTTGTTATTTCCTGATATCATTGTTACTTTTCAAGCGTAGATTTGTATGGTATTTTCTCTAGTTTGTTCATAGATTTGCTTTTAGTTACAGGCTTTTAGGATGTTTTTTTTCAGAGATTCTATATTTTATTTCTAATTTCGTTTATATTCGTTTCTTTTTCCATATTTTGTTTTCAGGGGCGATGTCCTTTGTTAGGTCTAATTTTAATCAAGTACTAGACTATTCCTTTCATGATTTACAGAAACTGTATCCTAATTCTTTTGTAAAATGTTGGTTCTAGTGGCCTGCTGTCTGACTCCAATATTTATTAGTAATTAAATATGCTATGAAATAACGAAATATGGTCGGCGAAAGTAGAAGATATTCGTAGATTGTCTTCGACCATAGGTGTCTCCCAAGCATTGCTCGTATATCCTGGGACAGCTGAGTAAGCAATGCTGTCGTTAGAAAATGAGTACTAGGTAAGGATGGCAGAGCAATAAACGATGTATTGAAATTTCAGTTGAGGTGGTTGGGACATGTGCTGCGTATGCCCAACTACTGACTACCTCGACGAACGTTGTCTTATGGTCTAGTGGTAGGTTGGAAGAAAGGTAAGGGACGCCAATCCAAAACATGGCACAAATCCATGAAGTCATTGATAAATGGATTGCGTCATGCTGGTAGATGTAGGCTACCTGGTTGTGGTTCGCGAGATGATAGTAATCGATGGTTAGAGAACCTGAATGACATGGTTCAAAATCGTTTGCAGTTGCTCAGGTGCATCTATTCATTGTGTTCTCTCAAATCCTAATCTTCTGAATTCCTCATCGTCTCTATCTTTCTAACTTTATCTGACTGAATTATACCCTAATCTTCTCTATTACTGCTAATACTTCTACTATCGCTACCACCATTGGATTTGAACTGACAGTTGCATCTCTGTGCTAATGTGTGATATGTCAACCTGAATTGATGTACATACGTACGTAGTTCTGTGTTGTATCTGTCTGTCTGTCTCTATGAAATAAATCCCCCTATCAGTTTCCGTATATCATATTTAGGCAAATTCTGTTTGTGTGACTGTGGTGATTAAGAGCCAAATATGGATTCAGGTAAATGAGTTCATTTCAAGCAATCGTTGATGCAGACAAATAGGAGAATACATGGCTTGAAAGCAAAGTGAAGTGAAGTGCATAAAGCCGGCGAGTTAACTCCATGCGTTAAAGCATAACTCACTATTTAAAGTCAGACAAGTAGTGCACGAAGTAAGCGACTCATACACACATGCTCTCATATAAACCAAGATATAAGCGAATAGTTGACAAGGTCGAACGTCCAGCAAATAGTGATTCGGACAGAATGGGTTATTCAATTTGTCCAAAGGCATGGGACAAGCCTTGTGTAGGCCCGACATAAAAGTACACACACACACACACTACAATTTCAATCTAATTTTATCATGTACTATAAATCCCGACTGTAGCTGCTACCTTGACGTGGTGGTCGGGCTTGCCTATCGTGATGACCCAACCGAGCTATACTGGCTGGAACGCATGTTCCTGCAGGTCCTACCATGCCAGACAGGTCGATTGGAGAACGATGAGACTAAAAGCAGCTACCCAAGGTCTGAGGGCGAAGTCGTACTGCTGACCGTGATGGAGGGGTGTGACAGCAGTAAGGTGTTCCCCTCGGATAACCAGCATCTGCAGCGATGCTGCCTTCTCACAAGGAAGGAAGGGTTAGAAAAGGTCGACCCTAAAAATGTCACACCTCCCCTAACTCACGGATTTCCGTCTCCTTGGGTAATGGTGCCCACTAAGGGATTTCAAGAGCGGAGCTAATCCTTAAAAGACCTTTCATCAAAAGGCCGTGTGTGACCGGCCTCAAGCAGTTGTCCCTTGGACTCTGCGGTCACGCACCCAGGTCTCCAAGACACAACACTAATCTATCTTCCTTTTCAGGTCCCTGAAGAAACAACGTTCCACGGTGTGGGCAGCCGAGAAGTGACAACCTCCGTCATACCCGTAACAGCACACGAGACCAAATTGGTCGAAATCAAATCCTTCCTACTATAAATACATTTATTTAGTAAATTTATCTTCATTTTAAGAAAATTTAAATTAGATCATTTTTGTTTTTATTCAGTATCATACAAAGAAGCAATTGAAGAAGTTGCTGGCTACCTAACTGAATCATTTGGCAATTCAACACGTATTGATTATGGAACTGGACATGAATTAGCTTATTTGGCATTTTTAACTTGTCTTTTCAAATTGAAAATTTTAAGCACACAAACTGATCCGGATGCAACCACTGTAAATGATCTTGTAGGCGTTGGATTAATTGTTATGCCAAAATATTTGAAATTAGTTCGTTTATTACAAACAACTTATTGTATGGAACCAGCTGGTTCACATGGTGTCTGGTGTTTGGATGATTTCCAATTTGTACCGTTTATTTGGGGCAGTAGTCAATTGATTGGTAAGATTCAAAGTTCACTTTTTTATTTTTACTAAACATTCTATTGTGTAAATGATAATAATAAGCTCGTAAATTTTCTTACTGTTATTATTCAATAGTTCTAGTGATAGGGAGTGAAGTAATTGAGCGTGTAGACTGCTTCATTTATCTCAGGAGTCTCATCAGTCAGTCAGTCAGTTAGTTGCAACGTAGAACTTCGTACGTATGTACATAAGTTCAGGTTGCCATACCACATTATTAGCACAGAGACGCAAATGTCAAATCAAATCCCATAGTGATAAAGATAGTAGAGGTATTAATATTAATAAAGAAGACTAGGGTTCGAAGATATTATTCAAGAAGTATATTGTTCAGTGAGATAAGGTTAGAAAGACAAAGGTAGAGGTGCTGGCTAATCCAGAAGATTAGGATTTGAGAGAGCTCAAAGAGTGGATGCACCTGCGCCATTGCAAACGATTTTGAGCCATGTCGTTCAAGGTCTCTAACCATTGACGACTTTCGTCTCGCGGACCCCAACCAGGTAGTCTACATCTACCAACATGACTCAGTCCACTTGTCAGTGACTTCATGGATTTGTGCCATGTTTTGGTCTGGCCGCCCCTAACTTTCTTCCAACCTACTCCTACACCACAAAACATAGCTCGTTGAGGCAGTCGGTGGTTAGGCATACGTAACACATGTCCCAACCACCTCAACTGATGAAGTTTCACCACTTCATCTATTGATCTGCCACCCGTACCTAGTACTCATTTCCTAACGACAGCATTGCTTACTCAATTGTCCCAGGATATACGAGCAATGCTTCGAAGACATCTATCCTAATAACCTACGGATGTTCCCTACTCTCACCGGCCATGTTTCGCATCCATATCGTAGAACGGGGCGAACTGATGCGCAGTACACTCATTCTTTGGTTAGCAAACAGATAATCTCGCCTACGTCATAAGTGACGTAAGTTGGCAAAAGCCAATCGAGCCTTCTGTATCCGTACTGAGATTTTGTCAGTCACCAGGTCATCAGTACTCACTGATGAGACTCCTGGAGGATTTGGATTTGATTTTGAACAATTTGGTCTCGTGTGCTGTTGCGGGTATGAGGGCGGTTATTACTTCCCGGCTGCCCACACCGTGGAACGTTGTTTCTTGACGAACCTGAAAAGGAAGATGGATTAGTGTTGGTGCGTGACCGCAGAGTCCAAGGGACAACTGCTTGAGGCCGGTCACACACGGCCTTTTGATGAAAGGTCTTTTAAGGATTAGCTCCGCTCTTGAAATCCCTTAGTGGGCACCATTACCCAAGGAGACGGAAATCCGTGAGTTAGGGGAGGTGTGACATTTTTAGGGTCGACCTTTTCTAACCCTTCCCTCCTTGTGAGAAGGCAGCATCGCTGCAGATGCTGGTTGTCCGAGGGAAACACCTTACTGCTGTCACACCCCTCCATCACGGTCAGCAGTACGACTTCGCCCTCAGACCTTGGGTAGCTGCTTTTAGTCTCATCGTTCTCCAATCGACCTGTCTGGCATGGTAGGACCTGCAGGAACATGCGTTCCAGCCAGTATAGCTCGGTTGGGTCATCACGATAGGCAAGCCTGACCACCACGTGGATGCGCACTGCTGAGGAGTCCCATACCAGGACGAAACGGCCGTCTTTCAGTGCTTTCAGGTTTCTAATGGTGGTCTAACATTGATCGATTCATGGTTTCAAAAATGTATATGTAATCGCCCTTTGAATCATACATTAATTTTTTGTAATGTGCCTAGTGTAACGCTCTCTGATTATCCAAATTGAAATAAGTGGGACTGGATTCAAACTTATGAATTAAAGTTTACACATTTTAGCTATCACAATTAGTATATAAATTCACCCTTAATTGATAAGAGTAATCTTACATTGATTTTCAGGAAGACCAGACACTGCCCACGTGTTAACACTACGACGTGAACAGTACAACTCAGTACTGAGGCGTAACCACACAAGTACCTGACACCCTTGTGGATTACTCACATCATTTATATACACCGATATATATATATATATATATATATATATATATATATATATATATATATATATATATATATACAGTGATTATTTCCGATTCATGATCGCGTCGTCAATCAATATGCATAGTATGAACAGGGCAATTTCACCCATCTCGCTTACATGACTATCAAACTCATTATTATTCACAATGGTGATATGTAAATACCAACACTTTAATGAAAATGGCCGTAGGGGATGTTGCAAGACAACCACCAGTATGAATGAGATGGGTCACCCTGCTAACCGAATTCGTATATGGACTGTTAGCAATGCCAGACCATTTACAATGTTCACAGCAAACCTTCCGATCTATATAGTGATATAGCTTCTGGTATATACATCGTATGTTATAGGATAATAGTAAGAGATGCGACCCAGCTTAACTCGAATGGGCTCTAACACCCCTATTACCCTTTATCTCATGTCGGGTGATCAATTTTTCGCAATGGTGAAATTTTCTAACCATATGAGACTTGAGTTAGGAGGGCTAGGAGGAGTATCCTGTTTAACCATCTCTCTATTCTTATGGATTCATTGAATGATACTACTTAATATCAGTCAGTCAGTCAGTCAGATGCAATGTAGAACTTCGTACGTAAGTACATCAGTTCATGTCGCCGCCATACCACATCACCACACAGATATAATTGTCAATTCAAATCCAATAGTAGAAGAGGTAGTAAGGGAATTAGAAGTAATCGGAGAGGTTAGGATTAGAAGATACTATTCAAGAAGTATGATTCAGTGAGAAAAGGTTTAGAAAGTCAAAACTAGAGGTGTTGAAGAATCCAGAAGATTAGGATTTGAGAGAACACAAAGAATAGATGCACCGGTGCCATTGCGAACGATTTTGAGCCATGTCATTCAAGGTCTCTAACCATCGATTCTTATCATCTCGCGGACCCTAACCAGGTAGTCGACAATTACCGACATGACTAAGTCCATTCGTCAATGATTTCATGGATTTCTGCCATGTTTTGGTTTGGCCGCCCCACTACTTAATATAAGATAATCGTTAATGCAAAGTCAGCAATATATTCTAAGTGCTTTACAATTAATTAATCATAAAATTGTTTGAAACATTGAATCATTCAATCATTTTTTTTCTCACTCTGTCTCTCTCTCTCTCTATCAATTAATTCACAACACATTTAGGCTGTCCTCAATACAGTCCTTCAGTGATAACAGATCGTGATGTTGTTGAACGTGATAAGGATAAATATCTATTATTTTCATGTATTGCTTATATTCATCAAGTGAGCGTGATTTTTTTAAAAAAAAAAATCGTTTTGATTTCATATTCTTATTGATAATGACCTGATTGAATATTTGGGTTAATGCACAAATTGTATCTTTATTAATTGCATAATCTATTTAAGTGTGTATGTATATAGAACGTTTAAAACTGATCACTTTACTTACTTACTTACTCACTTACGCCTGTTACCCCCAATGGAGCATAAACCGTCCACCAGTAGCATTCTCCAACCAACTCTCTCCTGGGTTTCCCTCTCTCCAGTTCTGTCCAATGTTTGTTCATTCCTCTCATATCTTTCTCTATTTCTCGGCGTATTGTGTTCCTTGGTCTTCCTCTTTTCCTTTTTCCTTGATGGTTCCATATGAGGGCTTGTCTCGTGACGCATTTAGGTGCTTTTCTTAGTGTGTGTCCTATCCTGATTTCCTCATCCACTGGAATCTGGTTTGATCTCTCCCACCGTTCGTTGTTGCTGATGGTGTCTGGCCAACGAATACGAAGTATTTTGCGTAGACAGCTGTTAATAAACACTTGTATCTTCTGGATGATGGCTTTAGTTCTCCAAGTTTCCGCTCCATACAGTAGAGCTGTCTTGACATTTGTATTGAAAATCCTGATTTTGGTGTTGATTGATACTCGTTTGGAGTTTCAGATCTTTTTCAATTGTAAAAATGCAGCCCTAGCTTTACCGATCCGCGCCCTCACATCTGCATCGGATCCACCTTTCTCGTCGATGATGCTGCCCACAAATGTAAAGGTGTTAACGTCCTCCAAGGCATCTCCATTAAGAGTGATTTGGTTGGTGCATGTTGTGTTGCATCGGAGAATTTTGCTTTTTCCTTTATGTATGTTGAGACCTACTGCTGCAGAGACTGCTGCTACACCGGTCGTCTTCTCTTGCATTTGTTGTTGAGTGTGCGATAAAAGAGCCAGATCATCTGCGAAGTCCAGGTAAGAAAAAGGTAAGAAATAAACGAACAACCAGGGACATCATGGCGGCTGAAAATATGCATTGAACAAAAATGGACGGTACCTGGATGCCGATTTCTGAACTGCCAACTTCCAGTTGCTGATCAGTAACTGATAAAGTCGACTATCGTTAATTCCTTACTTACTTACCTACTTCGCCTGTTACCCACAATGGAGCATAGGCTACCAACCAGCATTCTCTAATCTACTCAACCTTTCATTCTAGTTGTTCATTGTTCCAATGTCTGTCTCCGTTTCTCGGCATAATTTCTTCTCTGGTAATCCTGTTTTCCATTGACCTTGAAGATTCCAAGTGAGGGCATGTCTTGTGACGCAGTTGGATGCTTTCCTCAATATGTGTCCTATTCACTTCCAGCGCTTCTTCCTGATTTCTTCCTCCGTTGGAATGGTGTCTGGCTAACAGATACGAAGTATTTTGCATAGACAACTGTTAATAAACACTTTTATCTTGTGAATGATGGCTTTAGTAATTCTCTAAGTTTCCACCCCATACAGTAGAACTATCTTGATGTTTTTATTGAAAATTGTGTGACTTTGGTGTTGGTTGATCTTTAATTCCTACTAAGTTAGTCAATCACTCAACAACAACCTAGAACTCCGCCTGTAGACCCTCCGGAGAAACTGCCAGTCCCAAACCCGGATAAAGGAGGAGGGTTGGGATTGGGGTTGGCAATCCCATTCAGCAAAAAACTAACTCGCTAAAAAACTCTAACAAGTAAAAATAATTCATACCATTTAAACTCTGCTCTGGGAGTTAGAATGTCTTCATTCAGAAGAATTATGCCTTCTCATGATGAAAGCCAAGTTTCTTTGGAAGTCACGAGGCCGATGCCCCTCCTGACAACCAGAACCCTTCCATGGTGTGGGCAGCTGGGAAGTAACATCCGCCCTCATCCATAAAAACACACGAGACCAAGTTGGTCAAAATCCAAATTCCTACTAAGTCTAAACATGTATAATAATTGTTTTCTTGATTATAAATCAAGAATCTTCGTTGAATGTCTTACACAACCATAAAACGTAGTATTAATACATAGTTTCATTATTTATTGTCAGAATTGATCTAGCAATGAGAAAAAATATGGCACAGGTGTGGCCTACATTTGTTAATGTAAATTAGTCTCGACTTAAGTTTGCATTTTTTCTTTAAGATTTCATACGACTTTATCGATCGTTTAACTTCCTGATACTGTGCAAAAACACTTGGACACATACCGTTATGTTTTTATGTCACCAGTCAGTCAGTCAGTCAGTTGCAACGTAGAACTTCGTACGTATGTACATCAGTTCAGGTTGCCATACCACATTAGCACAGAGACGCAAATGTCAAATCAAATCCCATAGTGATAGAGATAGTAGATGTATTAATAGTAATGAAGAAGACTAGGGTTCGAAGATATTATTCAAGAAGTATATTTCAGTGAGATAAGGTTAGAAAGACAAAGGTAGAGGTGCTGACGAATCCAGAAGATTAGGATTTGAGAGAGCACAATGAATGGATGAGCTTTCGCCATTGCAAACGATTTTGAGCCATGTCGTTCAAGGTCTCTCTCCTACACCACAAAACATAGCTCGTCGAGGCAGTCGGTGGTTGGGCATTCGTCCCAACCACCTCAAATGATGAAGTTTCACCATTTCATCTATTAATCTGCCATCCTTACCTAGTACTCATTTCCTAACGATAGCATTGCTTATGCGGTTGTCTCATGATACACGAGCAATGCTTCGAAGACACCTATGATCTAAAACCAGCAACCTACGAATATCTTCTACTCTCACTGGCCATGTTTCACAGCCATAAAGTAAGACCGAGCGAACTACTGCGCAGTACACGGGTCCTTTAGTCAGCAAACGGATATCACGCCTGCGCCATAAGTGACGCATGTTGGCAAAAGCAAATCGAGCCTTCTGTATCCGTGTTGAGATTCCGTCAGTCACCAGAACATCAGCGCTGATGAGACTCCCCAGATAAGTCAAGTGATCAACATGCTCGACTACTTCACTCCCTATCACTACTTCAGGTGCCGATGAAACCCAATCTTGAAGCAACATTTTGCATTTCGAGGGTGAGAAACGCATCCCGAACATGCTTGCATTGCATGGTAGTCAGAAGACTCTGCACCAACATTTATGTGACTCCAGACTGTGTTATCTGTCTATTTTCGTTGACAAATTCACTGGATTTGTTGTTGTTACTACCTTCAATGCTTCACTTTCAATGATATGTGACGATTTTTATTGGTTTGATTATGGCTTACTTTTATCACTTGGTCATCAAAATAAAGTCGATGTTTCCACTCGTTCAGATGAGCAGTATTTCAGACTTAGTTTTCATGCATGATATATATATGGCAATCTAAATGACTCGTAAACATACTCTCTATTACTTAATTCTGATCATTGTATATTATTAATGTTCTGCTTAAAGTATATGACAAGCTGGATAAGAGTACAACTCTTACCATCGGACAAAGAAAATTGAGTACAAATCTGTCGCTGATGTTCCAAAATATTTCTCCTCTTACTTAATTCGTCCCAATGGGTATCACCTGATGAAATTTCAGATTTCCTCTGTATGAAATGCGCTGACTTTGTGTATCATCCATTTATAAGCATTGTTGTTTTTACGTGTAAGTTCTGAGTAATTAATTCTTCATAAGTTAGACAGTTAAAACGTGGAGTTTCGTACGTACGTACGTACGTATATCAATTCAAGTTCTACGCTGTAACGTCATCGGGTTAAAGAAAGACAATTTAAAACATTGGCATTAGTTATGAAGTTAGGATGATTGTGGATGTGATGAAATGTTTCGAAAGATGCTGTTAGTGGGACATAAATGGAATTAAAGCATGACTACGTTGCTACGCGCTGATTGGCTAATTTCCTATCCAATCAGCGCCTGATCGATTCTTGGAGAACAGGGTAGAAGATTCTCGTATTGTTAGCTGCGTGCTGATTGGTTAAATCTAATCCAGCCGATCACGTGAATTCTATCCAGAAGCTTCTCAAGTAAATGCTATAAATAGGCTAATGTTGTATCTATTTTTGCCTTCGCCTTCGCCATCACTTTTGGCTTCTTATTTCCATTTAACCTTGTTATTTGGAATATAATCTTTTCCTGTTCAACCGTGTTTTTGATTCTTGGGAACTTGTCCAGTGTATTGTGGTCAGAGAATAAATACTAAGCAATAGGATTTAGCTAGAAAATATCCAAGCAACCATTACAACAGATGCATAATTTTTAATTGGTATCTATCAAGTCACTGTAAATTACATAATTTCTAATTATTTACATTTCTTCTTTTATTGACTTCTTAATTGTACTGGGACATGTGTTACGTTTACCCAACTGCCGACTGCCTCGACGAGCTATGTTTTGTGGTGTAGGGTTGGGCAGGAAAAAAGCTAGTGGCGGCCAATCCAAAAAATGGCACAAATCCATGAAGTCACTGACAAGTGGACTAAGCCATGTTCGTAAGTGTAGACTACCTGTTTGGGATCCGCGAGACTGATGGTTAGACACTTTTAATAGCATAGCTCGAAATCGTTTGCATCGGCGCACGGGCATCCATTCTTTGTGTTCTCTCAAACTGTAAACCTCTGAATTCCTCATCACCTTCGTCTTTCAGAGTTTATTTCACTGGATTACACTTCGTGAATAATTTCTTCGAACCCTAATCTTCTCCATTACCGCTAATACTTTTACTACACCTATCATTATGGGATTTGAATTGACAATTTTATCTCTGTGTGCTAATGTTGTATAGCAACTTGAATTGATGTACGTACGTACGTACGAAATTCTAAGGTTTAGCTGACTTAATTGTGCTCGTTTAATACGTAGCGTTTTAAGCGATTGAAGTTAGTTTTGTGCTAGTTCCAGGGAGTTGGTGCTCTATGAGATATTCGAACGCATTTCAACCAGATTTTCAGTTCACAGTCTTCCCACTATAAGCTGTTTGCGACTGAGAAGTGCCAGTTAACATGAAACCTGTATGTAGGTGTTCGTATCGATTAATTTCCGACCACATAACGCCTCGACATAGTGCATGCAATAATGTTGAGTCATTTAGATTAATGGCTCGGTTGGTTGCAACTTAGTCGATAGAATCCGCTCAACCACTAAAGGATATTGTTTACTACTCAACAACGCATCAATTATGAAGTGTAACACTTTAGTTCACAACATAATTTCGCACATTTATATATGATTAGTTTGATTTTTTATTTTGCTCATATTTTGTGTAATTTTTTACTTGTAGAAGTATACTACTTTAAACTACCATTGTTACCGTTAATTTAGTCTAGCAGTTATTATACATAGAGTTGCATCCAAAACGAATAGAGTAACTTATTATCAAGTTTCATATAATTGAAATTATGAGTTGGTCAATATTAGATCACTGTTGGAAACCTAGAAGTACTAGACTTCCGATTTGTCCTAGCATATACGACTCATTAGCAGTGTTCATCCATAACCCCGCGAGCAGGAATCGAACCCCAAAATTTCCAATCTTGTGCGCAAACACCTAACTTCCTGACTATTAATCCGGCATCTAACAGTGTTAATGTCTAATTTCAGTGAATCCACGATACTGCACGACCATTATCCAGTGTCTTGGTCAAATAAAACTGCCACATACTCAACTCAGGATTTGTCGTAAAGCTTTCATTTATTGTAAAAAGAAATGTCTCCAACATCGCTTCATTCTAGAATAAACTTTTGTAAAAACACCTGTTATGCATGCGCGCAAACACGTCACTTGATATGCTTGAACTGTTACGAGTTTACCTTAGTCGGAAAACGAGAGCAAGGATCGAGGATCCGGACACACTACAGGCTACTTTAATCCGAGTGTCCCGAACCTCCATTGAGTAAAAGAAGAAAACTTGATATGAAGTAGAACATGTATTCTACAAGCATCCAGAAAGTATGAGGTCCAAGTCCAGAAAAGAATCAGGATCTTGGACTCAGGATCCGGGTCCGGGTCATAAAATGTTATAAATAATGCGTATTTAAACATTCAGGTCGAATAGGAAACAGCATTGAAGCATGTGACATTGATAGCTAAGACGACCATAATATTGACCAGTAGACTTACTAAAATAATTCTCTTAGGATATTGGTTGAATATAAACTAATAACTATTTTTGCAATCATTACATGGTTAAAATTTCTCTTAATTTATTATTATTACTAGTGTAAAACTGGTCCATTTGAAGAACATTCACATACATTGTATGGTATAAGTGAAATACCGAAATGGGAAAAAGTCAATTCTGGTTTAATTAAAATGTACAAAGGTGAAGTAAGTTACTATCATCTGAATTCCAGTTGATATATATGCTGTTTGATAAATTATGTATATATATGGAGAAATCCAAGCAATATTACTACGAGAGATGGAATACAGTTAGCTGACCCATTACTTACTTACTTACTTACTTACTCCTGTTACCCCTAATGAAGTATAGGCCGCTGACCGAGATTTTCTGGTTAGCTCGTTTTTTTTTAACGAGCCGATTTTTCTACGTGATGAGTTCGCTAGCCTCATTGCCCAACCCGCCTAGTTTATCCCGTCTTGGGGACAGGCAGTTACCCCAGAACGGTTCCCAGGCGGTGTGTTAATCATGCAATGAACAATCATTAGCTTGATGAATACAAATGAAATTGTGATCCATTGCAATGCTGACTATCGATTGGAAGATTCTAGGCAACTCATACAAGTCAACAAATTTTTTCTTATTTCTTTACATAGTTTTTCACTCTATATATGCTGTGACATGTTTGATATATATGAAATTGTCTGATTTCATCAACAATCCTTAACTAGAAGCATCATGATGACCCAACCGAGCTATATTGGCTGGAACATATCTTCCTGAATGTCCTACCATGCCAGGCAGGTCTATTGGAGAACGATGAGACTAAAAGCAGCTACTCAAGGTCTGAGGGCGAAGTCGTACTGCTGACTGACTGTCAAGGGGTGTGACGGCAGTAAGGTGTTTTCCTCGGACAACCAGCATCTTCAGCGATGCTGCCTTCTCACAAGGAAGGAAGCAGTTAGAAAAGATCGACCCTAAAAATGTTACACCTCAACATACCTCACGCATTTCCGTCTCCTTGGGTAAGGGTGCCCACTAAGGGCTTTCAAGAGCGGAGCGAACACTCAAAAAACCTTTCATCAAAAGACCGTGCGTGACCGGCCTCAAGCAGTTGTCCCTTGGGCTCTGCGGTCACGCACCCAGGTCGTTAAGACCAACTCTAATCTACCTTCCTTTTCAGGTCCCTCAAGAAACAACCTTCCACGGTGTGGGCAGCCTGGGAGTGACGACCGCCCTCATACCCGTAACTGCACTGGAGACCAAATTGGTCAAAATAAAATACCCGTACTACTATGGTGATTTGAATTGACAATTCAGTCTCTCTGTGCTAATCGGGCATGACACATTGAACTGGCGTATGTACTTACGTACATACAAAGTTCTACGTTGTCGCTTAATTTCTTATATGATTAATGTTTGTCCCAATTTTTATTCACATATCCAATTCTTCATTAACAATCAATCTGTTAGCTTGATTTATTTGTTCGCTTGATTTGTTTGTTTCAGGTTTTAGAAAAATTCCCAGTAGTTCAACATTTTCTATTTGGCAATTTATTATCATTTGATTCAATACAAACTGTGAAATGTTTAAACAATCAAACACCTACTACTACTACTACGGCTGAACAACGCAGTCACATTCCTTCAAATAGTAGTGATTTATTCGTTAAACCAATCACATCAACACCCAGCATTTCACAACAATCGAATTCACATGCTGGTGCTGATGGCGTTGAACATTCTTGAAGTTTAAGAAAAAAAAGATTCTTCAAAGTCATTGGATCGATTATACAGTTTTAATTTTATGCGTTTTCTTTTTCAAAACAGAATTGATTATGTATATATATATATATCTATAATATAATATAATATATATAGAGGAGAGATGTTTGCAAAACCATATAAGCATTTTCATTCTAAAACAATGGATTGTTACTTGTTTTTTTTCTTCTTCTTGTCTTTGTTTTACTACTACTACTGTAGTGAAAGAGAACACAGGTGAGGGCAACCGAATTGTATATAACCGAAATTACAGAGTTACTCAGTAAAATAGGAAAACCATATCGTAAATTGTTCATTTGCAAAATATCAGTTCATCATATCAAACTGGACTGTTGTTCCTGTTGCAAAACATCAATCCATTGTCACTAACTATTCATGCGTTTCATACAAATTCCTTTCTTGTTGATCTTCCCGCATCTTCTGCTGCCAGACATTACGTTTACACTCACGTCATATACTACTTATAAGTAGCTCACACCACAACACCACACTATTACTACTCAGTAATTGTTTTAAACTGAAAGTAGTTTTACACATTGAAATAATGATCAATCATTGTTAGACTGACTTACTAGCATTAGAAGAATCCTGGAAGTATTTATTGGACAGCTGTCTCATCCTGGTATTTGGGGGGGGGGACTCATTGACAGTGTGTATCCATGACTGCCGCTCGTGGGAATTGAACCTAAGAATTGAGTCTCGCACAAGAGTGCTTAACCTCCAGATCACTAAGCCGGCATCCAACGGTGTTAATATGTAACTCCGAATGGGTCCGCATACACTGTCTTCTGTGTCAATCAATCAACAGCAACGTAGAACTTCGTACGTACGCGCGCGTACATCAGTTCATGTTGTCATACTACATTAACACAGAGATATAATTGTCAATATAAATCTAATAGTACTAGAGTTGGTAAAGATATTATCAGTAGTCGGAGAGATTAGGGTTCGACGATATTATTCAAGAAGTATAATCTAGTGAAATAAACTTCAAAAGATGAAGTGATGAGCAATTAAAAAGTTTAGGATTTGAGAGAACACAAAGAATGACTGCACCTGCACCGGAGCCATGTCATTCATGGTCTTCAACCATTGATTATCATCATCTCACGGACCCCAACCAGGTAGCCTACATCTGCCAACATGACTCAGTCCACTAGTCAGTGACTTCATGGATTTGTGCCATGTTTTGGATTGGCCGCCCCTAACTTTCTTCCAACCTACTCCTACATCACAAAACATAGCTCGTCGAGGCAGTCGGTGGTTAGGCATACGCAACACATGTCCCAACCACTTCAACTGATAAAGTGTCACTACTGCGTCTACTGATCTGCCATTCTTACCTAGCACCCGTTTCCAAATAACAGCGTTGCTTACTCTGTTTTCCCACGATATACGAGCAATGCTTGTAAGACATCTTTGATCGAATACTAGTAACTTACGAACATCTACTCTTAACGGCCATGATTCGCATACATAAAGTAAGACGGAGCGAACCACTGCACAGTACACTCGTCCTTTAATCAGCAACCGGATATCTTGCCTACGCCTTAAGTGAAGCAGGTTGGCAAAAGCCAATCGACCTACCTGTATCCGAGCTGAGGTTTCGTCAGTCACCAGGCCATCGGCACTGATGAGACTCCCAAGAAGCGGTCTACACGTTCGACTACTTCACTCCCTATCACTAGTTCAGGTACCGATGCAACCCAATCTTGAAGCAACATTTTGCATTTCGAGGGGGAAAACCGCATTCCTAACATGCTTGCATTGTTGCTTAGGGTAGTCTGAAGACTCTGCACTTTGTCAGAGTCTTCTCCAAGTAGGACAATGTCATCGGCATATTCTAAGTCAATAAGCGAGCCACCTGCTAAAAGGTCTACTGAAAATTCAGACGAGGATAAGGTTATTTCTAGGAGCATGTCTATGATAAAATTAAACAAGAATGGAGAAAGTGGACATCCCTGACGGACACCACTTGACGTAAGGAATTCTGATGACAGTTCGCATAAGCTCTCACTCGACCAGTGGTGTTGGAGTAGAGAGCTTGTATAAGGTTAATGTACTTCTTTGGTACACCTTTCAATGACTGACACTGCCACAGAACCTCACGATCCACTGAGTCAAATGCCGCCTTAAGTTCCAGGAAGACAACTATTGTAGGACGCTTAAATGTATGTCTGTGTTCCAGGACCTGTCGTAGTGTGAAGATGTGGTCTATACAGCCGCGTCCAGGTCGAAAACCAGCCTGGTTTTCTCTAGTCTGCTCTTCACGAGCACTAGTAAGGCGTCTAAGTATAATCGAGGCTACCAATTTCGAAACTATATTAGTTAGACTGATTCCCCTGTGATTGTCACGAGAAAACTTATAGATTGGGGCAATCAGTGATTGAGACCAGTCAGATGGGATTACGTCCAGTCCCCAGATTCTACCTAAGATCTCAGTCAATATGGCTACTAAAACTGGACTAACATCCTTAAAAATCTCAGGGGTAATTTTATTGGGTCCTGCTGCTCTCCCTCGCTTCAGATTTCCTATGGCTTTCTCAACTTTATCAGCGGCGCAAGGTGACAAACGATCGAAGGAGGAGTTGGTCAAGGAGATGACAGAGTTGTTAGGAGGTGTAGAAAGGATTTGATTGTGACCAATTTCGTCTCGCTCGCTTTTATGGGTATTAGGGCGGATGTTACCTCCCGGCTGCCCACACTGTGGAAGGGATCTGATTGTCAGAAGGGACATCGACTTTATTTTCTTATATCGACTGAAGGTATCCATTTTCGTACAAACAATTATTTAATGTAGCCTACTTAAACTTTTTTGTTGACTACGAATATTTATTCAGAAAACTCATTCTACTTACAAATGTAATCAGTAGCTTAAGTTTTATGCATCATTTTTTGTTTGCCAGTCCATTTGTTGTTCATAGAAAATTTTTATTGCATACCCAGTTATGGTTTGAAAATAAATCTAAAAAACGGTTATTGAAAAGTAGTTCTTCACTAAGACGTTAAAATTGAGTAATCTAAATCAGTTTTTATGATACTACGTTGGTTGATCACTGATTAATAAACCAGTCCCGAGTACAGATTGGTTCTACCGTTCATAATTTATGTGATAAAACTCTACAGACCTGGTTTGATTAGTTAAAACAGATAATGGAAATGTGATATAAAGTCTCTCCTCTGTGTATACTGAATAAATGAACCGGATATTAGTTATACCTCTTGATAAAACATATTATTTCTCTATGGACTCCGAGAGCAATAGAGTACTGAACAGACAATTTTTTGCATGATAGAGTTATCGAGATTATTGATTTACACTGAAATAGTGAACCTATCGTCGTTAGACTAGGACCTTCGATCTTACGCACGAATGTTTAACCTCTAGACCACTGAATCGAAATCCAACGATGATGTAAATGTCTAACTCTGACCAACCTACGGATTTTACGTAACCACACTCATTGTCTTCGGTAGTTATTGAATATCACTGACAGGGCTAAACTCAATTGGCCACGACTCCTATAATGAAAAGTCATGCAGCATTCTCACTAGTGACTACCTTCGTGAAGAGTTCTGCTAGGATGATGACATGATCAGTAGCACTCAACCCTGTCGGGTATAGGTACTGCCTACCGAAGACAATGGGTGAGGTCCCGAAAAATCCATAGGTTGATCAGAGTTACACATTAACACCATTAACTCAGTGGCTTGGTGGCAAAACGTTCGGGCTGAAGATCGAAGGTCCTAGTTTCGGCTCCTGTGTTTAGCGGTAGTCTTGGATGCCCATACTGACCAGAATGGCCATCCAGTGCTTCCACTTTCTCTAATGTTGGTCTAATGATTATTAGTTCGTCAACTTCCTTGAATGGTGTAACGTTTTCTAACCCATATTGCTGCTGTATATTAGATAACGATCTAATTGAAAACAATATGAGTTGTTCTAAAATTAAATATCCATTGTTTCGATGAAAAAACAACTTTGCGTCAGTCCATAGTTTTAGAGATAAAACGATTCTATGATAATCACAATTAGACTGGCGACTATAGGGTTATATATGTATATAATAACACACGAAACAATGTTTTTCGATATGGTTTATTGTAGATTTTTATTTAACAACTGGAGACATTAAAAATACTTCACAATTGAATCACAATATATCATCCAGTTTAAGGTGTTATTATCAAAAATTTTTATGTTTGAATGATCAAAATGAGTTAACTAACTGGTCAATTAAATCATGAAATAATTTTTTAAAAAAAACTTTGATTTATTTATCAATCAATAGCAGCATAGAACTTTGTACGTACGTACATTAATTAGTTCATGTTGCCAAACCACATCATGGAGCACACAGAGATGTAATTGTCAATTCAAATCCAATAGTAGTAGAGGTAGTAAAGGTAATATTAGCAGTAGTCGGAGAGGTTAGGATTAGAAGATATTATTATTCAAGAAGCAGAATCTAGTGAAATAAACTTAAAAAGATAAAGATAAAATGATGACGAATTAAAAAGTCTAGGATTTGAGGGAACACAAAGAATCAAATGCACCTGCTTCATTGCAAACGATTTTGAGCCATGTCATTCAGGGTCTCTAAGCATCGATTACTATCATCTCCCGGACACCAACCAGGTAGTCGACAACTAACGACATGACTCAGTCCACTTGTCAATGACTTCATGGATTTCTGCCATGTTTTGATTTGGCCGCCCCTAGCTTTCTCCCAACCTACTCCTTCCTACACCATAAAATATAGCTCGACGAGGCAGTCGGCGGTTGAGCATTCGTAACACACATGTCCCAACCACCTCAACTGATGAAGTTTCAATATGTAATTTATTTAAAATCAGAAAGAGATTTGATTGTATATTCAACGAATGTTCGTCATGATATTTTTAACAAACAGTTCAATAGAAATTGAACAATGAGTAAGTAATACAAGGAATAATATTAATTTTTTTGAAATATAATTTCAATGATTGAAAAATGCCAATCATTTTGTTCAGTAAATGTATTTGAACTTCTTTCTACATGAGGATAGTGAAGATTGGCAGTCATTAAGATATTGTTAAATATAATTTTTCATTGAAGGTTTGTAGAGATTGTGGTTGTTGAGTTTCACTGAAATTATGAGTTGATCAATGTTAGACTAC